AGGAAGCTAGAAAGTTGGAAATAAGAAGCTGTGGAAAGCAGTAAAGGCAAGTACCAAAGCACAGACTTTGGAGCTTCTAACTCTGCTGTCACAGACTGAAGAGAAACCTGACCTAGAGTTGTGTCTAGGTCCAGACCTCCTCCGGAGTTTTAGGCTCCTTTGTGACCCCAGATCAGATGCCCCTCTCCTTAGGTGCATGGCTGAGCAGGACTGTCCCTCTCAGTGGACAGTGTTGACATCCTTAGGGGATGTAAGTGTCCAAGAAGTACTGTGAATCTTGCTTCAAAAATAAGTAGGCTCTAAAAGTAGAGATGCTCTCTGAGCTTAGCTGCTACCCTAAGTACTCTTGCTTTACTATGGCATTCTGCACTGGATTACTAGCTTAAACAGCTAGCAGAGCTATAATGCTCCTGACACACACATTGCCTTCCACCATTTAGAGCCTTTTTCTCTTTGAGGAGCTGGACCAAAATACCCTGTGGATTTAGCCTATGTCCATTGAATCATATTTTCCATTTCTATGTGATTTTATTGCTATATTCTTGAATTGCATGAAAGTAAGTATGTAGAAAAGATGTCCCATCCTAACTGGTCCTTATTCAAGTCATCACAGCTTCCTCCTATGATAAGTCCTTTCTATTGTTCCTGAGATGGACTCCTGCACAACACTCAGACAAATGCACCCGAACTGAACTATGCATGATTTTCAAACACGTTGATGCAACATGGAAGGAGATGACCCACTTTTGCAATGTTTAGAGCACACATCGAGAAGGTTTTGCGTTGTCTCAGCTTTTATAAGGACATTCAGTCCTATTCAAAACAGCATAAAGTCAAGTTTTTTTGATGCATGGTTTTTAACATCAATAATAGAAGGGCAGCCTTGCAAATGGGGATATAAATGATGCCAGGAAGCCAGCTAACATATGAGTAGTGCATCAAAGAAAGGAAGAAAGATAAATAATCAGGAAAAGGAAAATAGATATGGTTTAGATAGGATAAATGCAAAAATGCTGCTGGTGCCAAATTAAAAATAAATTCCGAGTTCTGAAATATAATACTCTAGGAAAATAAAGTTATTGGAGACCCTTGAAAAGGACTTCAGGAAAAGCTATATCAAGAATGTAAAACAGTGGAGAAAAGATGTAAAGAAATGGTATTGAATTAAAAAGGTTAATTGCTAATGCTGTAATGTGATCAAATCTGTTCTGGATTTCCTGCAACATTTTAATACTTAATAGTACACTGTTAAAGAGCTGTTTGGAGATTCAACCCTGTGACCCTCAATTAGTCATGGAGATGTAGACAAGACAAGTTGAGCAAAACTCTTTCAAGATTCATGTATCCATTTACCCCAAAGGGCACATATACCAATAATACAGAAATTTGTGACAGACTAAGAAAACCCAGAACATACCACTTGAATTGTTAAAAAGACTGAAGCTGTCAGAAGAGCTGTCTGTGCCTACTAGACCACCTGAGGCCATGATATCTGTATATGCTTCACTTTATAGGATATACTTATCTGACTGCGTGGTACATCAAACCTTTGTAATTTATGTCTACCCTCAGTACAGTCTTTTCCATTGTTCCTGTTTTAAGGAAATGCATAAACTTTGCCGGTGCTGATAAGAAATTTTTCAGCTTTTATACTCTCTACTTTAACGTTACTCTAAGACTTCCTGTATTTCTTTGACAATGACGTAGAAATGCACATTTAAATATAAGATCTTGCCATATTCTGCTCAACATATTATGGTGACGATTTCACAGATTTATGGGTTTACAAGCTTATCAAATAGGAAAAGGTGGAGGAGACAGGAAAAAAAAGGCCATTGTTTGAAAAAAATGCCATTGTTTAAAAAAAAAGTTAACATGATAAGAAATACTGAAGCCAGGTGATGACACATCCCAGTTGGTATTTTCTCCAATCTGGAAGATGCTCACTAAATGTAAATGAGGCTTGTGCTGTCAAAAGAGTTACGAAAGAGTTATGAAACAAAAATCTATAACCAAATATTATATATAAATAATCTCAAAAGTCTTCTGATGTATTTTTGTGGAATAGCTTTACAGCAATAGAGCACTGGTGGGTCACAAAACCATTAAGGTGGCACATGGACACATAATAAATATTATTCCCTATCATATTTCCAATAAAAGGTTTAAGTATTGAGGTGTACTATAGCATACACGAAGTTTCAAATGTTGACTGCAGCAGATTGATTGAAGAGGTCTGGGAACCACATATTCCACTTCCAACAAGATATAGATTTAACAAGAATTTAATGTTCCTTAGTAGATAGTTCTCCCAAAATTGGTCTCCTGTGCTTAAATTAATCTAACTCCCACTTAGATTTTTTTTTTGACCATTAAACCATGGGGATTGCTTTTCCCTAGTATTAAGTTCAACAGCAACTGCTTATGTGAGGCATTACAGAGGATAAATCCACTAACAGAAAGTTATGGCTTATTTTATAGAAAATTACTCAATTTACTTCTTATGAGTGTAGCATACAGTGCCTAGATTGTTAATTATTTAAATAACCAGCAATCCTTAACACTTACTATGAAGCAAAAGAAAGAAACCACACATCTTTCCAGACTCCCGTGCTTCCAACGAATGCGTTATTCTAGATTTCTGAGTGTTTGTGAAAAACTGCTCAATTCCAAACTGACCAAGACCTTTTGTCTATTTAGGATTTTGTTATGGGTCTCTCAATTTTACTCCGAGGGACAGTACAGGAGAAACTGAACTGGGCTTTCAATTTGTATGATATAAATAAGGATGGATATATAACTAAAGAGGTAAGGTCTACTTTTTACACTAATCACTTAAACTAAAGGTTGCATATGTAAAGAAGAATGGCTTCATTCTCAAATTAGACATGTTAACAAATAAACATATAACATATTATGAAACTGGACATGCTAAAAAATAGTCATTTTCTCATTTTAAAGGTATATATAAAAATTGAAAGGGGAAAATCATCACAGAAATTGTAAAAGGTCAGAAATTTCCAGGTACAGAAACGTTTGGCTTCAGCTTACGCCTATGTATTGGCGCATACAGTCACCAGAAAAAAGTAGTTCAGTAGGATATTTGGACAAAAAAGAATTAAGTTGGCCACAATTGTTACCCATTTTATAAATCTACTTCTAAAAATTTTTACTTGAAACAGAATTTATATAAAAAGATTCCTACATCTTTCACTCTGCAAGGATTTAGACACATACTTAAATTACAGTGGGACCAAATGAGTGCCTTCATAAAAATATATTTTTTCAAAATTGGGTCTTTATGTAAAAGTATATCTATATATATATATATTACACTTATAATTTTACACTTGCAGAAAAACACTTTGTGATTATTATAGATCTTTAGAATAATTTCTCAGCATACTGGCAGATGACTTTTTAAAATAATTATACTTATAGTTTTCACAAGCCACTCTATTAGCAAAATCCAAAGCTTTTGATATAAAAGGAGGAGTCTTTGCGTAAAAGTATATATATATATATATATATTACACTTATAATTTTACACTTGCAGAAAAACACTTTGTGATTATTATAGATCTTTAGAATAATTTCTCAGCATACTGGCAGATGACTTTTTAAAATAATTATACTTATAGTTTTCACAAGCCACTCTATTAGCAAAATCCAAAGCTTTTGATATAAAAGGAGGAGTCTTTGCATATGTGCAGGCGTGTGCATGGGTCATTCTGTTTTCTCTAGGGAAAACTCAGTTGTAAGAAGCTGATGTGCTTTGACCATTCACTTGCTGTTGCAGAACTTCTTTTCCTGTTTAGTTTTATTCGGAAGACCTCAGGAGATTCTTCCTACAATCCATGAACTTGCACATATTCTAAATAATTTAAAATCAATCAAAATCATACGTCTGCATATTTAACAAGTTTATCTACAAAAGCTGAACTAACATGCTAGAATTTCTAGGAACACAGTAGCTCCTTCTTGAAGCTGTCCAGTCATAAAATAACAGGCATAATCTCAACATTTTATTCTAAAATCTAAATCCTAAAAATAATGTATGTGTTCTGAGTCAAAGCAGTGTCTACAACGCACCTTACATTACACAAATATATTTTTTTCTCTTCAGGAAATGCTTGATATCATGAAAGCAATATACGATATGATGGGGAAATGCACCTATCCTGTTCTCAAGGAGGATGCGCCTAGACAACATGTGGAAACATTTTTCCAGGTGGGTCGGGTAACACAGGGAGCCAAAAAGACTGCTCTGTTAGCAGGTATGGAAAGATTTTCATTATTGTAAGTTTTGTATATCCTGCCAATTTTGTAATCCTTTTTCTTCTCTGTGGTTCCATCCCCAGTTTCTCAGATCTACTCATTACACCTTGCTTTTTCAACAATAAGCTTCTTTTTTCTAGTATATCACTTACTACGTCTTTACAGCATTTTGGCATGGTTGTTCCTCGGCTGACATGTAACTGAAATGAATAGTAAAAAGGACTAGTTTTACACAGGATTTCAGGAGGATAAACATACGTTCTTATTCTTTCTGAACAGAAAATGGACAAAAACAAAGATGGAGTAGTTACCATAGATGAATTCATCGAGAGCTGCCAGAAAGTAAGTACCCAGTGACAAGTATTGAACCTGTATCTGTTGGCTAATGCTATCCTAGTGCTACACAGATTTCTGGAGTGACAGTGATGGTAATCCTAATACCAGGGGCAGTATTCTCCCAAGGTGGAGTATGTATGTACACCATTACACAAAAACACTAAAAGAGTAAATAAATTTGTGACCTGAATCTGTAGCAGAGATGTTATATACAAGCTGTCATTGCTTATTAGACAACTGTGTCTGCATCCCCTCTCTTTAACAGTGTTTTGTTTGTATTTGACAGCAAAATGTTTCTTCACATTGAGCTAAATATTTATTTCTATCTTCTGCCCATGCTGGGGAACACATTCCTGTTACAACTGGCATATAGTCACATCAATAATAATAATATTGCTTGAAAATTTATCATCTATAGGAGTGTTCCTCGAACAGCGAGTCATGACCCGACTGCAAGGAGCTTGCGAAGTGATGGCTGGCAGGAGTTAACAGCAGGCAAGTTTTCTCAAGGCAAGGGAGTGAGAACTGATTGTGATTATCAACTGCAAGTGTTTACACTACCCAGGTGGCTGTTAATTGCCTTCAATGGCTGAAAGCAGCTCATTGCCTCTTGAGCCAGGAATGAGAATAAACTTCTGCAGCGGGAATTACAGCCTGTTTTCACTCCTCTGCTCTTCAGAAACTGGTTTGCTTTCAGACCAGGAGATGATACAAGGAAAGATAAGTTGTATTTTCGGAAATTCAAGGAACTGCTGTTAATTTGTCAGTTAAAAAATGCAAGAAAAAGAAACATGATATAGTACAAAATAATGGTGACAAGTCTTTGGCACGGTAAGAGGTTTTTATGTACTGTAAAGTGTCACATTAGACTTAGTGATAAGATAGGCTTGATTACATTATGCAAAATGATATGTCAAATAAAACCAACACTATTTGTTACAGTGAGAAATATACAGAACCCTAGTAGCGTTCTGCTGATACCTCAGCCTTCTCTAGGCTGACTGACTAACACGAAGCTGACACAGACCAGCAATATAGCCTGAGTGTATTGCCTCTTATCTCCTATACCAAGAAGAGTACCAGTAGACAAGAGACAGGAGATAGTAAGATAAATGCAGTTAGTGAGTGATAGGTTTATAAACATTTGGAATAGGAAAAGCTGGACAGGAAACAGCAAAGATGCTCTAGAATTGGTAAATTTTTATATGCATTTGTAGTTATTCTTTGGGATTGCTCTCATGAACACAGCTACCTACTAAGTGATGCTCTGATTGATTTTGATCCACTGATTTTGAGGGAATGACAACAGCTCTTCTAACTGTGGCTGTTCTGTGTATCCTTAGCAATGGGTATGGGGTATAGTCTTATCTGTCAGCAGTGCTCTATTGCATTGACCATAGTTCTAGCTTTTCAGTCTTGTTCAATTCAAATGAAAGGCATTTGCTCTGCTAAAGCTGAGTGATCATCAGAAACAGAGATGCGATTTATTTCCCGGCTGAGGTCATCAGAATTCTGGAAATTAAATGAAAGTTTAATCTGGATATGACAGCCATTATGGTGATGGGCTGAGTGATTTGTTTACAAAGATAATTAGTACCTTCAGTAAGGAATTGCCTGGTCTCCTTTTCCAATGTGATTCACAGTTTCTCAGTTCTGTTAGAAAATTTATTTACCCCTTCTGAGTATTCAGAATACATGTGAGAAAGATGCTCTCTAAACTGCTCCATGACAGAGACACCGTTGTCATCTTGTCGCTTACCTCACCTTCGCTTGCTTTTAACTTCAAAGGTGGCAATGTTTTTTGATACAAAAACTATCTCGCTGCCTAATTTTTGTCTCTTTACCTACTGAGACCTGTTATTCTATTAAGACCTCTGAGCTGCAAAGTGTGTAATCCATGTTTATATCAAGATTTGGTTTCAGAAATGAGATTTGGGGTTAGGATTCAATCCAAGTCCTTCATGAAACTTGGTTCAGGAGTTGACATGGTTTCAGCCTTTTCAGGATTACATTTTTCACAGAGGACAGTAGTGGCTGCTTCCTTTTAAGACAGGTGTAGGAAAATATTTTTTTAATACCCTAATGGGTACGAGACTGATCTAAAAAGGTAACGTTCAGGTTCCTTCCTTTCCTCAGCATGCAGTGAGTCACATCACTCTGGGAGCGAGAAGTCTCATCTTCCATGAGCATTTAACAATGCCAAAAGCAAAATTAAATGATCCTGTGATCCTTCCTGTAGTAAATCTACCTGTGTTTTAGACCTGCCATGCAATATTTTTATGTTTTCCATATGTTCTTGTGTTATGGAAAAACGGTGGTTATCATTATTGCCCTTCCTTCAGTATCTCTTTTCCAAGCTGTAAAGTACTCATTCATTCAATTTTTCCTCCTAAGGAAACCAGTCCATACCTTTAATCACCCTTGGCCCTCTCTCTAGACCACTGCTAGTTCTACTGTTACCTTTGGTTTACCAGGATCAGGACATTCAGGGCAGGGGCACAGCACACCTCCTGCTCCCTAGGCTCTGACAGCTATGGTGGCTTCCTCATCTACAAACCCTCCTTTGGCATTAAGGCTGATGTTAGAGCACATCTGCTCAAAACCTTCCCTGCCAGTTTGCATAACAAATGATTGTACCTCAGACCTTGGAATGGGAGTGCCTGTTGAGGAATATGGCAGCCAGCATCTGGTGCACCTGAAAATATGCCAAAAGTATACAGAGGATATGTTTGCCAGCCCCTAGGTTCCAGCTCAAACTGTGAGATTAAGGTCAAAACAGTGCCAAGAGACAAACACTACAAAAAAAACCTCAACCAAACTCTAAAGCTCAGATCCCCTCCAGTCTGCATCTGAAAACAGACTAGAAGGCTGTTCTGCCAGGGAAGGGCTGCAGCAGCCTTTTCTTTGAGTGATCTCTCAGGCAAGAGCCGCCAGCCTCTGAGAACTGCCATTCCTCTATTTTGAGTTGGAAGACAAATTAGTGGGTCTTTGAAGTGCATCCCTTTTACTGGTGTTTTGTCATAACTAAGGAAAGCATGGCATGCTTGCTTTAAGAGCAGGAAGGAGCATATTTGAATACAGAGGTTCCACTTCAGGGTCCTGGGATTTTTTTGTAGCATCAAGAGCCTCTGGTGTGTTCTTAAACACTCATTCTACATGCATGTGCCTTTTTTAAAATCACCTCCTTGTGCTGATTACTGGTTTGGCACAACTATCAGTGCAGTAGCACTGTACAGCCTGACGTATACAGCAAGTTGAAGACTCTTAATTCACAGTTCCAATGCAAAGAATGGCCTGTCCATTCACAAAGTGTTAAGCAGTTATGTAGGGAATTACAGAGCATTCAGGCTTTGAGCGAGGTCTTCTCTGGTCACTGGGTATAAGGACCTACCTTTGCTCACGATTAAGTGAGGACAGCCAAAGTGCTTCCCCTCATCCTCCCTCTATCTTGGACAGGGAACATGTACAACCTGATTCCTCTGCCCTCCCTACCCTAATCCCCGTGTGCTTGAATGTCAGTCTGCCATCCAGACTCCAGGCATCTCCCTGTTCCCACAGGAGAAATGGACTATCCTGCCCTAGGCATGCTGGACTGAGTCCCAGAAAGCAGCTGCCGCCTGTCCTTACCAAACAGCAGAGATAGGTCTTGGGAAACAGTAGTGTGGCTAACTCAAGGGCTAGGCCCTACCCAGTTCCTCACCTGCCTCCTTTCACTGCTTGGTGCTGGTGGAAAATGGTCTGACTCAGGCACTGCTTCATGTCTACAGCAGCACCATGAAGAACAGAGGCAAAGGACTAAGGTGTGCATAGGTGAATGTCAGGGTGAATGACTTAAAGCTCCTTCTGATAATGATAAAAAAGCTTCTGGGATAGATATTTTCTGCAGGAGTAAGCCATTCCGTACACAATGCTGATGAGTCTGGGCCAGCCTGAAAACAAAGTACCCGTCTCAAACTTCAGTAGGAAAAACCTCGAAGCTGGCTTGAAGTTAGGTCAGATCTGGCAAAGCACATTCATCCATGTTTTGTGCTTCATATGGACTATGCTTCATATGCACTAACACCTCCTAATGTCTTAAGTAAGTTAGGAATCATTAAACAAATCTATTACAAAAAACTGTTTAGAAAAATGTACTGAAAAAAAAAGAGGCAAATGAGAAAGATAAGCTTCCCAAAGAATCCTAATGCAAACATCTGCTTTTTTTCTTTGAAGATGAAAAAAAAGCTACTACCAGTCACCATGTTCCAACTATTATGACAAAGCTATATTTTCTTGTGAAGACTCTTCCCATTTGACTGACTAGAGGAGGGGCATTTGGAAGTTTTCTGTATAAAACCAGCAAACTTCAGAAATATGGAGCTGATTTTAGAAAACTACTAGTTTCATTAGTGATGATACATTATAATAGAAAATTAGTAGGAAGTGTCAAAGCACTGTTTCTAAATTAAGAACATGTTGTCTGCTTTGCACATTTGCTGAGCTTAGTTGCCAATGTATATACAAAAGCATCTGTAAATAATTAAATGACAAATGATTCTGGTTAAACCAAACTTTAACCTTATATTAGTCAGTGATCTTCAATTTTATACTGATGTTTCAAAACAATGCAGTGGGAAAAAGTTAGTTTATTTTCATTTCCAGTAATTTAATATAGTAAATTTCCTATACAAACTTTTTAAGCATTAATGCTTACATAACAGATTTTTTTTTTAAATTACATATCATTGCTTTCATAAGTTAAAGTGCAAAGATCACTTCTTACAGCAACATCACTTAAGATGACATATGGAATCAAAGATGAAAACACCACTTTGCATGTTTCATAACAAATTAAGAAAATTATTCAGACTTGTCATTTTCTACAAAGCAAATCACCCACTAGACTGAACAGTGAATAATTTAACTGGAAATTGATACTGATCATGTGTTACTAGAATATTATGTACAGAAGGCCTACAAACCTGTCAGTAGCGGAGAATACTATGAGAGAATCTTTCTAAGAGGGAGTTTTTTGCCTCTTTCATGAAACTTCCTAAAATATTCTATCAAATTCAGGTTTTTTTATTCACTAGAATTAAAAGTGGCTAGATTATCTCTCAAGAAAGTACTAAATGGTGTGCATTCAGATTTAAAAAAGAGTATCATTACAGTGGAGACCAGCAAATGCTAAATGAGCATGTAATATACTCTTGAGTTGTATATATATTGTATTGTGCAACCAACTGTTGATCCAGAAGTACTACCAAATCTGGGCTACTACAGGTACATTTTTTTTTTCTATACACTGACAGGTAAATGTTACAAAAAATTATTTTTTTCTGACTGATGTGCTGAGAGTTATTTACTGATAGAAATGGGAGTACAGAGTGATGCATCAGTAAGCATTATGCAGAACTTGGAAGTCGAAGGTTTTGTTACCTACCTAATGCAGAGCAATTGGAAAGTAGAAGTAGCATTGGAAAGCAGTCAACATCTTTCACTGTGAACACACAAAAAATCTGAACTGAGGAGTCCAAGTGTTGTGGTGATATTTGTGGAATTGACTGATTCTTTGGTTCATACGAAGATGCTCATTTAAATGTATTTTATTTGAGTCATCCTTAGCTATGCAATATGGTGCTCTAGAATTGTAAAAAGGCTCCTGCGTACAATACACAGGACTAGCAATTTCATGTATGGATTCACACTTCAGATACAGCAATTGTTCCTTGAGTGTTTATTGTCTATATGTATTTTGTTATACCGGATATAAACTTATAACCTCTGAAATACTGCAGACTTAATTTTCTTAACATGCTATTGCATTCTTGACAACATAATTTTGGTTTAATTAATATACACAAAAAAATATTTAAGCATAGATCTATTAGCAGCCGCTTTCTGCTAAAAATTTCTCCAAACAAGCTGAAAAATAATGTTGCCATTAACTAAAATACAGTTAGTTCTACCCAATTTCACTATAGATATTTGCCAACTACATTTGTAATTGTGTATGATATTTTGTTTTTTGTTGTCTTTTTTACAGGATGAGAATATAATGCGATCCATGCAGCTCTTTGAAAATGTGATTTAATGAAGACATTAGGTCTACAACTAATGGACAAATATGAGTTATTCTGCAACATTATTTAAAAGATGGATTTCCCACTTTATCATAAATAAAATTACTCAGCTTTACACTGAGACATGTATTATGCAAATAAATTTTTTATTATAAACTTTTCCCCAAAAAAACTTTCTAAATTGTACAAGTTAGCACTTCAACAGTGGCTACTTAGTTAACAAGGTTGTTCTGAAATGTCAGGTTTTTACTATAAACCCAAACAAAATAAGACCAGGTATTATGCAGCTTTATTATCATTCCAACCCCTAGATAAAATAGATACTAACACAAGGAGATTAAATAAATACTCTTTAGTTTTGCTACTCATTTGTACTGGATTAAGCTCCAGGTGTTTGAGTGTATTTCTTAAATCTTGGCTTCTAATTTATACAGAGGCATTACCATGTATTTTCTTTTCACGTTTGTATGGTGTAGTCCTCATTCTTTTAATAATACTTTGAGTTAAAGTGCTATAATCAATGTGCAATGCACATCTTGCTGCAATTGCCTTCTACCTTGACTTGCTTTTCTCTTAAAAAAAAAAAAACCCAACCTAAAAAAATAGATAACTTGATAGGAAGAACTTTTACAGGAAAAAAAAATAAAATTGCTTATAGGTAGATTTACTCCCTAAACAAATACAACTAAGCTTCTATCAGTCACACTTACCTAGTAAATCTGCATTTAATTTATCATGACATGAATATCAGGAGTCCTACACACTGTATTTCTAATTCTTCTTGGATGTGTCCGCAAAGTTCTTTGCTTAAAATTAAGGATCTTCTGACTTTGAATTTTTCATGAAGAAACCTTAACTGGATCCGAACACTGTTTTTATGAGTATGTATCTTTCTGCCTTTAATGAAGAAAAAGGCATGAACTTCTTTTGAAACCTCCATCCCACTTCAGTGCTCAGAATGAATATCACTACATAGTAACATCTACTACTAAATAACTGCTAGGCAGGCTAACATCTGCTTCAGCTTTTTGTAGTATCTTTAATTAGGAGACAGAATCAGGAAAAAATTGGACACTTCAGCTGTATAATATCATCATTTATATGTGATAACTGCATTACATCTTTTTAGGATCATTTCTTCATTAAGATTGGAGCTACCTTAATTCTGAACCTAGAAAGATTTTTCTTTCAAGAAAAAGTATGTACCCCCCATCCATGTAATTTTTAAGATATACTATCCACGGAGTTTATGCCAATACTTAAAAATAGGTGAAATGCTATCAGAGATAGGCCACTCTTCATTGTGACATTGCTGCAGAAAGGGGATTAATGAAGTAGAAAGAATGTTGCAAGCATTCTTTTGCAAAAACAAATCAGGTATCTATTCTGGTGTAGAGATGGGATGTTAGAGGCGTGTTGAAGGCTGCTCTGCTATCACCAGTGTAGGATAAGAGTAGTACAATACATGTACACCTGAAATCTGCTGTAGCGTGTTTGTGTAAACTAAATGTGCACATTTTGTAAAAAAAAAAAAAATAAAGTAAACATGAAGAAAAACAAGCAGCATGATCAATTTTTTGAGTTGTTAAACAGATATTTGTATTTCTTCAAATTAAACATTTTTGTCAACAAAATTAATTTTTTTAAAAAAGCTTAAATACATATATCTTGACCTAGCACAGTCCTGAAGTAAATTTAATTTAGCCAAGCAGTGGTAATTTTCAAAAAAATTCTGAAATTGCTTTCACATGACAGACTTTTTTAATACCCTATGCAACAGCATCTTTTGATGACCAAAAAAAACCCTTCCAAAAATCTTATGTTCCGGAATTGAATTTTCCTCAGGAGAAAAAGTTCTATGGCAAATTTTGTTACTTCAGTCAGCTCTCCCTCACAGAGTAACTCAAATACCCATAACAACATGAACCCTGAACAGTATTTATTACAAGACATGTTAGGAATTATTTTGCAATCAAGTTCAAATATGTTCATGGACAAATGCTGTACCCTACAAGGCTTCACAGCCAGGTAAGCTGGCTTCTGCAATCTTTGTATTGTCTTTAACTCATATTTTTTTCAGAGCTTCCACATTCAGAAGTTTATTAGCTTGTCTGTAGCTGAATTCACAAGCTAGTCCCAAGCATATTTGTGGCGTTACAGAACTCAGTGCAAAGTGAGCACAGTGTAAATACTCCAAAGTTGCCTCCTACATCTATCTCACATTCAGTAGGCCCAAAGCTAACTGGAACTAATTAGTTGAGCAAAACCTAGGCTGTGGCTCTATGGAGCAACCTGATGCCTCTGCACTGTATTCTCCAGAGCCTCTCCAGCTTCTCAAAACAATGTGCTGAGAATACACTGAGGAAGTTCAGTTTTGCACCATATGCTACCCATTTAGTGCGTTCAGCTTCACACCTTGAAAAGTGACTCTCAATAAGCCTAGATGAGTTCTCACAGTTCTACATCTAATCCAGTAAGTCTTGATGAACCCAAACTGCATCTATCTGTGCCTGTGGCACAAATTAAGTTACATGTTTCAAAAGTGGGTATACGTACATAATTTAACACCAAGCTAGTTACTGTTTAAGTAATTACAGCCAAATTATTTTGCATGACAAAAATGCACAAAACATATTAAGCACTCCAGATCTATTAGAGGAAATTGTAATTTACAACAAAATAAGAATATTTACTCTGCTTTTGAAATAACAGCAAATTAGTCAATGTCATTGTAAGCACAATGCATATGCAAATAGCAGCCAATACAGAGAGAGAATTATTTTAAATAGTCTTCCATAATTACATATTCACAAACTGACAGGACTTTTCCCACTCTCCATCATACTGAAGAATTGTGATTATTTTAAGACAATATATCATACCCCAAATAAGTGTCAGTGATGTTCACAGGCAGTTTCTTTCCAAACTTCAACTTACAGTACAAATCACTACAGTTTTCTTGATCACGAAGAGACAGAACAATAGGTTGGAATTTTAGATTTTATGATAGCCACAGTTGCCTGTTGATGAAAATAAATACATTTAAACAAAATAAGGAGCACTAGCACTGCGTATGAGAGTATTCATATAGTCTCTATTAATTGTATACTTCACAACTTTTACTTAGTTATTTTTGTTATTATCAAACAGTAGAAAACTAAAAAGTTAATATTTGCTGAGAAGTTTACTGTCAAAAGGGATGAAAATTATGAACTGAAAAAATGGAGCATTGCGACAGCTAATGATGGAGCGTAAACATCTAAGAGAAGAGATATGTAAACTCATATCTAAAACTGGGCATAAATATAGACATGAAATAATAAGGATTTTTAAATAGAGGAGTGATATTCTGGAAGGAATTTCCAATAAAAGTAAGAATCATATACAGTATAACTCATTTAGAGTAGAAATGTGATAAATTCATTAGTTGGATTATATAACACTGCTTGTAATCAGAATTTAGGAGTTTGTTTCCAGTTTTCTGCTTTATCTTATTACAGTATTTTTGAAAGACCTACTCACAAAACCAGTAGGCTACAAGAAATCAGAGCACAGAGGAATTAGGTTAATGATTCACTGGATTAGTTACACTATCTAGACCTAAATTTTCAGAACATCAAGATGAGATGTAATTTTCCTTTTCTTGTCTCACTACATATAAATAAAAAACTCCCATGCTGCTTTATTTGTCGTGATGTTTTTCAAGACTGTAATACGAACACTGCTACTGCCCTTAAATGAATATGAGCACAAAAAAAAAAAAATAACGAAGTGGCATCTACTGATTATTTGGGTGCCTACTGATTAAGACACACAAGCTCAGAACTGGTAGACCTATGTTTATGGTCCTTACTCTTTAGGTTATTCCTATTCTTTACCAATGACCATTTAATATAATATATGCAAGTGTTCATAGGGGCAAGAAAGCAAGTATTTTTCTCTCCTAGATGAACATCCAAGCCAATAGTTTCTCACTTTTTCTTCTCTCCTCCTTTCTGCACAATGTACAGTACAACAGAAAATGGCAACAGAATGTTCAGCAGCCGTCTATTACTTAAAGCATTTTTTTGATTTATAGCAATTGCAGATCTAACCACTGGGTTAACCAGAGTGGGCTCGAGTGTGAGTATCTGATTTCCTCAGTAAGTGACCTAAACACTAAGCTATTAGTGGGAATGGGCAGGCATCACCAGTAACAGCAAAAAGTGGCTTTTAGCAAGAGTAAATCCTCTTGAGAAAAGTATTTAGGCTCAGAAAAAGGAATACGAAGCCTGCACCCCAGGCATATTGAAGCAAGACAAATATTCAGCCTGAGTCAGGTGTCAATACTCCAGAAGGGGCCAGCAGCTATTTACTAGTTGACATTTGGTGAATCCCTGGATCACTCTTCGTGGGCATCTATCCTACCCTACGGTTTGTACAAGAAGCTCACATGCTTTACTCACCATAAGCATCTACTTTCTAGGTGCTGCAATGCCTAACTTGGAATAAAGATGTATATTACGCATCCTGGATCTTACCCTACACAACTAAGCCATTTGTCACATCAGTTCAAACCCGGTAAAAAAATGTAGACTTTCCATAGAAATGGAGAATTTTCAAGAAAGAACAGCATCTCATTTAACCACTAAGTCTGCATAAGCTTCCCACCAAGGACAATAAAATGCTCCAAGCAAATATCATGGGTAGGGATCCACATAGATGCACACTTGCTCCCAAAAAGAGTTCTTCTGAATGGGGCTTGGTGTGCTGTGCTGTAAGAGTCCAGCCATGCAGCTTCTTACGTAGGTATGGATCCCTTGGAATATTTTACTGAGACATACTCCTGTATTTCCTGCTCAGAGATTAAAACAATGGAGAATACAAATGAAAAGTGGGAGATATAAAAAAAATGGGAGACAACAAACCCTAACCAGCAGAATATGAATTAGAGTAGATGTAATATTTCTATTACCACTCAATATGTCAAAGAGAATAAAACAACTATTTTACTATAGACTGTGACACAACCCTGCTGACTGCCACAGTGCAAAATCCTGTGGTTTATGCAATATGAATAGTTGTAACATGTAAAAATAAGCAGTTTTCAGAATGTGGTTCTTAATCTGAAAGCCAGAGATGGAAGTTGTTTTGGCAAAGTTGCATTCAAATGTGCAGATTACAAAATAATCATCTGGTCAACTCACCTTTCCACCATATTGTTCCAACTTTTGTAAAGTAACAGTAATTTTTTCTCTAAATTTCTTGTCCATTAATCTCCTTGAAAGCTATTGGAAAAGTAAAATAAAAAGGTTTGTTGCACAACATAGTACAATATATGCAAAGAGGCCAATATAACTCTATTTTATTACTTTATTTCATCTTGTCTTTGGAAAATTAAAGCCAAAAAGAAACATCACTGATGTCAAAGTATGGAACTCAGTTAAGGCAAAAGGAATAAAATGTTAACTGATGAGAAACTTAAATGCAAAGAAAGCTCAACTGTTAGCCAAAAAAATACTTATTTTCATTTTTTTTTCTTTTAGCAAACAAATTTTAAAGAGGTATCAACCTTAAAAAAAGATGTTCTTAAAGTGCTGTCCACAGGAAAAGTTAACACTTTTTTCATGTGCACTGAAAGAGATTTATTATAGTTGAAATACTTTAAAAAAAACTACTGCAATTTCTCTCTTCTGCATTGGATGTCTAAAAGGTCCTTTTATTTTGCTATAAAAGTGCACTTTGGAAGCAGGCTAAATGAAACCATGAAAAGCCTGTCTGACAGAAGAAGGATGTCTACAAAAGGACTCAGTATAAAAATACTTTCCACAATCCCACTCTAAGTTAACTTAATGAAGAGTTCCTTGTGCAGAATTCCCATCTGAAAGAAGTGGGAATATTTGCTTATGTTAATTTATTGAAACTTTCACAGATTTTTTAAAATATTCACACTTAAAATGCAAAACTCATTTTGCAGTAAACATAAACTTCCCTTCAAAACATAGCATCTATTTCACCTCAGGCTTGAAGCTGGATCTTTTTTAAGTAGTAGAGACAACACTTGCATTATTCTCCAATTTACATTAACAACACTCTTTGGACCTTGCTAGAACTTTATAAGTCACCATATTATTAAAGAATGATGGACTTACATAGAGGAATATATGAAATAATGCTTTTCACGGAACTGCTGACTCCTCCATTGTATCCGTGCAGATATCATAGTAAACATCTCAACAAAAGTACCATAAAAATACAGAAGATTTTTTACTACAGCATTAAAAACTTACATTTGTGAGTAGGTGCTTAAGATGATCATTAAGAGATGGGCCAACAACAGCACTCAGTTGAACTAAAGCTTCCAATCCCCTTCTGAATACTTCATCATCTGAATGGGCCTTCAGAAGGGGAAAAAAGAAAATTCTGTCAGTAATATTCAGACAAATGCACAAGTTCTTCAAAACTGCAATCCACCTTATGATTGTATGTAGTATTTTTAAAAATTAAAACTACTGTGCAACTGCTAATTGTTATAAACATACAAGTTTAGAAATACAAGTACAATATGACTGAATATTGGTATCTAGAGGTAACATTTAAAAACAGAAGTATATTTTTAAAGTAGAAAACAAAAGTATCCACAAAATGTCAGTGAAACTCTTGCATTTCTTCCGGGACAAGGAAACTAATAATTTATTATTGATGAAATAAAAAAATTGGCAGGCAAAACAGTTTACTACAGCAACAATTTCAGTGCTTCACAGCACATTAGAAAGAACCCTTCAAATGCGGATATGTTGAAATTGGGATATAACATTTTAGTTACAAATGTAATGAATTCAGGGTAATTTCTATGTAATTCATAACAATAATTGTCTTTGTTGGAGAAACACAGGAGCCAATGACTTTCTGGCTCAATTAATTTAGTCCCCTGCCAACTACAGCTTTGTCACCTGCCAGCAATTATCAGGCTCTTATCTACTTGTAGGGTGCTTTGTCATCTTTATTACTCCCATGGGAAGGTTCTTTTATACTGGAGTTCTCTAATGGTTTAGTTATCTCACTTTTCCTTTGGCATAGAAAGTGAGTCATGACAATTTATTTTGTTCTTGTACTAATACTGATGTTTATTTAAACAGTAATTTTTCCACTCTGACATTTGGGCCCTGAACGCTTTTTTTTTAACTAAAAGTCATCGACTAGTTGTGTAGTAGAAGGTTTAACAAGACTTCATATCAAAACAGTGCAACAATGAAAATTATCAGATTAATAACAGTATTTGGAAGAACAGACATGAGTATTTTTTCTAATTTTGTCTTCCAAACTAAACCGAAGATACTGATAACACACAATTCTGATCTTCTATTACACCTCTGATCTGAGATCACAAAGAATTTTCAAATTTTCAGCCATCTCTATAAATCCAGAACTGAAACACAGCTAGATTACAGGACAGCAAGCAGCAGAACCAGCAAAGGGCTCTGAAAGATATTAAAAAGATTCAAAAGAGATTACCTTCAAGGCCAATACTTTTACCTCACTTTATTTTCTGAAGGAGTAGAAAAGTTAAAGACATTTTAAAAACCTCATTGGCTACAAAGATAAAACAGAATATGCCAATGATGGAAGAATACAGCTAAAATGTTTGAGGTCATATTCTTCATTTTTAAAATGTCTTTAACTTTTCTACTCCTTCAGAAAATAAAGAATAAATTAAAAAAAAATAAATAAAAAAGAAAATAAAATTCACGTTTTGAATTTTTAAATGTAACAGATGAGTATTTATTCTGACATCTCCATTTTACTTAACATGCAAAAAAAAAATTGAGGTGATTATGTGGATATATAAAAACATCACCAATACATATATGTATTTCTTCTTATAGTCAGGTCTTTAATAGAACATTTCCACAGAATTTGCCCATAGCTACTGTCAAACAGCTATACAAGGAGTTGCCCGTCTGAGTTTACAGTTAAAGACATATTTAGCTAATAAAACCAAGGCAAGGTTAATATAAGAAACTATTCCTACCCACCCAAACCCCAAACCAAAAGCCCATGCAACAGATTTATCACATTAATATTTTCTGTGTAGTCCTCACCAGCACAAGAAAAAAGAATTCAAACCCATTAAAATCTCTGCATGAAGAGTAAGACATACCAATGCAGCCTTTAACACTGGAACTAGACGAGGCAACAAGGGAATTGCTTTTTCAGCAGCACCTTCAACCATAAGTAATTCTTTAAAACCCTCCTTTGAAACAAATGTATAGGGATGTTTTGTCTCTCTTAGACCCTGTTGCAAATGTAAAACACGTTTGCTTAATAGTGAGTCTTAAAAAAACAAAAAAAAACCAACAAAAAAAAACACATTAAAAAAGTTCCACATAGCAGCAAGATAATGTTTAGATTCTGTTACATCAGTTCAAAACATAAAATACACTAACTCCACCATGTGGAGCCATTGAGTACAACTCTGCTCACAGAATATTCTTATTCATTTTTCTTTTGGACCATTGAATATTAAAACTGACTTTATGAATACTGCCAATTCAATCAATATTTGTACTTCATTACCTTTAATCTAACTACCCAAGGTAATTTTTCAACAAGACCATGAACAAGAATTGGCTGTATTTGTAAATGATTTTCATACCCTGAAGGAAAAAAAAAAAAAATAGAAGATGAACTATGGAAGGAAAGAGACCCCACCACCCCATACAGCCCTCGGCAACACCAAAAACTTGTAGATGCTACAAATATGCACTTCTAGTGAAGACCTGACTGGCAGAACTCAAAGATTTAAAGCCCTACGGCTGAAGTCTGTCTTCTTTCCATAATAGGAGCTCTAAGTTACTTTAGGAATTGGCAGCTTCATTTAATCTTAAAAAAAAAAAAAAAAAAAAAAAAAGTGCCACCTATAGACTACGCACTTTATTCTATCCACCACACTGACTTCAACATTTGTTTACACCCCTGAAACATATTTGGTGATAAATGTCACAGATGATGCTGAGAAAACAGAAGCCTGAACATAATGTATAGTATTTCATTAATTTACAGGATCTTATTTCCATTGTATTTGTTCAATCTATTGAGAAGAGCACTCTTATTTCAATAGGTAAGCTTTATATATAAAAAGAATCAAAACAATTTTGTTTACAAAAGAACCTGCAAAGCCACAAATGGATCAAAGTATTTCATTCCACAGTTGGGAATCTGTGATGCAGTCTTATATTTGGCCAGTATCTTGAAGATTAAATAGCTCTACCTAGCTCTCCTAGAATGCTCTAACTGAAGAACTACAGATGGCAATGTTCTTGACCTTCTTCATTCACACAAGATCCTCACAAATGTTTTTTTCGTATTTCCCTAGTAAGTGAGTCTAAGTTAGCTAGCTTAGCTTGTTACAAAATGCCATTTGCCATTAGGAACTCCTGTATGCTTAACTTTGCAAGAAAATTGAGTTTACCTCTGCCAATGTTAGAAGAAGAGGATCAAAGGGAACAGTTTCAGGAAGGCATTCCCATTGCAGTCTGTGCTTTACTGAGCCATGCACTAACCTATATAAAGAATAGAGTTTTAACAAATTAACATGTAATAATATATGATTTATTACTAACACTATTCACTTTCAATCACCAATTTCACTTTCATCACCAATTGGTTTGCAATACTACTATATTGTTATATGCAAAATTTCATTACATACTGCTCTCCTGAGTGAAATGTATAATGGTATTTAACAATGCAATTATTGTAATTCCCAAATATGGCAGTTTTCAAAATTCTGCTCACAATCACATAGAAATCAGAAAATAAAAGAAATAAAAATTATAGATGCCTCTCACACCAACACAGAAGATGCTCCCTTTGCAAAGTTTATTGATAAATATCAAGAAACATTTTCCTCAAATAACAATTGGTAAAGGAAATTAGTTGAAACTGAAAGAAAATCATATTGCAATTCATCAGTTACTCCTAAGATACATATAAAGGCTATGTGTTAATGATTATTTCATACTTGTATATACATGTAATAGTGATTACTTAAATTTTTGTTAAGTAATTCTGCATCCACTTGACAAAACACGAAAGTGCTTATCATCTAGGCAAATATATAATAGACAAAAGTAACTTAAAATACCACAAACTATTACTTACAAGTAGTTTTGTTAATATCTGATATTGCTGACAACTACAGAATTGCGATATTCAAGAAAATGGTGCCATACTACTTATTTCCGACAAAAAAAGACTGCAAACTGTCTACTTCCTAAAATGGCACTGATTTTATTATCTTTGTTAGTAGGGAGAAGTAAACACCATTACATGAAGAAATCAACTTCTTTCATGAAAGAGGCTTAGCAAACCAAATCTGCAAATACCTAGCTATTTTTTAAAAGTGCAGCTTCAGTAGCATAAAAAAAGAACCAAAAGAAGACAATTTCAAAGATATGGAAAATTGCTTTCTGCTTTGAAAAGAAATGAATGGAATCAAACAGCCTAACTAAAAGATCAAACATTAATAGATGTATTTCAATCCGTGTAATTCTACCTAACCATAATATATTTAGTAAAAAAATAAACAAAACCAACATACCTGCATGGAATGCCACCTTTAGCGTATATAGCAGCAAATGCGGAAGGTGGTCGAGAATGAGCACCAAACTGTAAGGACAAAAAAAAAAAACAACCAAAAAGCATTATTTATTCATAACAGTAATGTTTAATAGCTATTTTGAATATGTTAAAACTGCAGTTTACCAAAAAAGGAACGTAGTCATATGATTCCAAAACTAATCAAAAAAAGAACTGCAGCTATGGGATGGAAACATACATAAATGTACATTGGTATATTTCTCAGAAAACTGCTTTTCAGAATTGTCTGGCTAGGAAGTTGTAAAAATGAACAAATAATGTAGAATCAGTGCTCTCCTGATGGAATACCCTTATTTTTCTATTTTCTCTTGCACATCTTAACACTGAAGTCTTATGGGTTCTCTCCTTAACAGATTAAGGACCTCTCACTTTCCTGATACTCTTATTGTTGTTATATTGGTAACATGCAGAAGACAGATTTACTCCAATTTCATCTTGATCTGAGTATAGACAAAAGTACAAGGTGGCAAGATGTGGGAGAAACACCAGTTGTTAGGCAAGATGGTATGAGGGCACTGGAAACCAGCAGGGAGGTTCATACTGGAGGAAAATCTAGGAAGGACTCACTGGAGAAGGAAACTAGGAGCTTCACGGGAGGAAAGCCTGTACAAAGTTGTTTTTTTATCATATACATGCTTCTTATGCATATGAACTATGGTATTATTTATTAGCATGATCATTCAATGCTACTTTCCAGATTAATTATCTTATCACAAAGCATACAGCAGGAAATACCATGAAATGTTAATTTTTTTTTGTGTGTTTGAACCTACGTTAACATTGTTAAAATTGTGTGCGTGATTTGACAACTTCTTGGCTTAATTAAGTCATTGTACTACTTGCAAAAAAGTTTCAAGAAAAAAAATGCCCACATGAAAGTATTCAGCCTCTGTTTTTGGCAAATTAGTACCTCGCCAAAGTACTCCCGCATTTAGTTTGTTTTCCAAAAAGTCTGTGGCATTACTAATTGTTTGGCTGATATGGTGAGCTATAATTCACCCACTCAAAGCTAGATCTCCAGGCACAGGATTTCTGTGAAATAAATAAGTCCTTTCATCAGTCTTCTCCTGAAAGCCCAAATTCCTCCCAAAGTATTACATATTCACAGTACTTGGGAGTTTCAAGTAATGCTTGCTAGCAATTCATTTGCTAGATTTTATGAGGTCTAGATGATCTTCAAGATTCTTGGTTTCATTGCATAACTGAGATCAGTTCCTCTAAAGGAGCAAGTGTCAAAATTTATAACTATACTAAAAAACCCCTACCCTTTTTAACTCTTACCTCTATATTTCTTTTTAGGGCAAAAGTATATGGAAAATAAAAAAGTTACCATCTAAGCCACAACTGTACCAAAACCCCTTTTTTTAAAAAAAGTAATAAACACGTTATGCCTCAGGCATTTGAGCATAGAAATTAGGGAATGTATGATTAATAACAAAAGTTCAGTTTCAATTTACAAAACAGGACCCAAAGAAGCATGTCCTGCATGTATTTCATAAAGTAAGGAAATTTCTTCCAGCAAGAGATCTGTTTTAAGCAAACAGAAAAAGCACCACTTATACATACCGGATCAATAGTTTTAGGATTCAGCTTGTCACTTGGCTTTGGTTGTGGTTTAATTGCAGGTTCCGGAGAACATGGCAAAGGAGATGTCTTGCTTTTCTGTACTGCAGTCTTGGGTTTTATTTGGATGCCTGATGACATTCTTAGAACATTACTTCCTAAAACAGAAAAAGATTAAAAACATGAAATAGTTTTCATTCCTATATGACAGAATATCAACAGTTAGAAACCTGACAGTAAGACTGACATGAACAATCAATTAAGAAAATCTGAATAAGTGTACTAGAAAGGAAATTCTTATTCTTATATATCCTAAGCAGTGGATATTCAAATCCTTTTCTCTTCCAATAAGTAATCAAGATACATGCCAAGGACTTCACTAAGGTTTTAACTAATGACAAAATCTGGATGCATTTCAAGTCACTGGTTGTACCATCAGAGAGAGTAAAAAATAAAAGGTGTGACAATAGGCAGGAACAATGTTAGCCCTTTGGGACAAAAGTAAAGACAGGAGTTAAAGACATTGATAACAGTTTTGTAAAACTGCAACTGAAACAACACACCTATGTATTGTCAGAGGAGGAGGTGGCAGAAAGTGGAAAAAGGACTTTTCATAAGGAGGTCTCAGTCTTCAGATGAAAGGTCTTGTGTAGTCAAGAGCTAGGAGTCACACGCATTTGTAGAGAGATCAGACAGCAGAAGTATAGCTGTGAATCAAACTAGCGACATGCAAGGCTTGATACAGGCAGTGAACCATCCTACTGGCAGATGAGAGACTTCAAGCAAAGGACAGAAATCCTTAAACAGAAAGAGAAAAAGCACCTTTCAAAGACGTCTTTCAAAGGAGGAGAAGTGCGGCCTGGAGTTTGGGTTCTAGAAGTCACTTAAGAAAGGCGGAATGAAAGCGAGTAGGACTCTAAAGGCGAGCTTGCTCCCTTACCCTGGTGAGTGTCAACTCCCCCGGCGTGCAGCTAGGGCAGAGAAAGAGAGAGAGAAGGGGCATCAAGCACCGTAACCGCCAAGAGGCTCAAACAGCAAAGCTCTGGCAAGTTACCGCAGAGCCGCCGGACCAACCCTCACCAACACCGCGGGGCACCAAACGACCCAGCGAGACGACGCGGAGGGACACGCAGGCCCCTCCTCGGGCCCCCCTCCCCTCCCCACAGCTCCCACTCTCTCGCGGGGAAGCCCGGGTCAAGGCGGCCAGAGGGGAGCGCCGGGCCGGTGGGCAGCGGTATCCCCCCGTCTCAGGGGTCCCTCGGGAAGGGCGGCCGCTCAGCGCCCCGAGGGCCCGGCCCGGCCCGACCCAGCGCTGCCGCCCGGCCGCAC